ACACAGTCATGATGTTCTTAAAAACGTTTTAGATACTTACTTTTCTTTATTGTTTGCAAATGAACTTGTTTAAGACTTGCGGACTTAAAAGGATCTTCATGCCGATAACTTCTACCTTGTTCTATTAATATTTCTTTGCTTGCTACTGTATTCTCATTTCAATTGAGTTCTTATGAAAGCTTATGGCTCAAAATAAGTTTCCATTTTGGTATTCAGATAGATGTTTGCGGAAGAGTAAAATATTGCTGTATGGAAATAGATTTTGATGTCAAATTCCCTAGAAAGTTGTTTGATAAAATATTTTTAATAAAACTGGTTTAATAAAATATTCCTTTACTCTTAGATCGCTTTCTAAATTACAATGAAGCATTGTTCACCAATGGGGATGATGACAAAATTGCAAATGGTTGCAATTAGTAAGTAAGTATTAAACATGTAATTTACTGGTAATACTTGTTTTAGCTTTTAAAACGAGTTTATTATACAATTAATTTGCCTTTAAAATTAAATGCTACAGTTTTCAAATGTAACTAAGGTAGGTACTTTAATTCCAAAAGTGATCAAAGTTTATGAAGCAATTAATTGTAAGATTAAACTGTCAAATAATTTAAAATTCAATCATCACTTTGAGTTTGTACTGAATTTTGAGCATCATTTTCTACTACGATCTTGTGTCAAATGCGTGTTTAATCATGCTGCTACGGATAGGCTGTACAGTATTGCTTATTATATCTTAAAATAAAATACCATCTGGAAATATAATAGCTCTATATTTTGGTACCCAAACAAGCGAAATTGAACATATTCGCTAATTTACAAGACATTTTATTTCGCGAGGTAAAAGCAGCTGAAAATAGCTGAAGGGTAATGTGAAAGTGTTTAATTTCAATTAAGATCGTGTAATTGCACTATGGCTTCGTAAACAGATGTCTACAACAATTTTCTCAGCTAACTGGGAGAAGCAGGATATATGTTATCTGCCTTACTCAGATCTGTATGGCTATGTGATTAAATTGTCACACACAACTCAAATACAACACTCAACTGGTTTTAATAATTTTAGTATATTTAATTATGAAAATGTATGTAGATATTACCTAATAACGAATTTTATTCACCATCATCATCATTATTAGGTCATTTAATCACTACACAAACTGAAACTACACGCTGGCCAGACGGGTTTATTTATTTATTTATTTTTCTTTATTAAGGAAACAAACAGCATGAGTTTATACATGTGAACTTAAAAAATATAAACAGTACAGTAGCCTTATCAGTTTCCACAGATAAACTTTACAAGTTAATCGAAGGGTTGTGGACTGATTTTCGCGTAATTGTCCTTTAGCCTTTTACGACATCCAGGGTTAGTCGCCTTTTTACGACAATCACGGGAACAGTGGGCGTGGTCCTATTCTACTCTGCTGGAATCACACAGTCACGAATGGAAATAATATTGTTTTTGAAGTAAAAATGCTTAGAAATCGTTTCCATTGAGACATGAAAAGCTTTGTCCATCAAAGTACTTACCCGTGTTGTTGTTGCCAAAGAAAGCTATCATATATTTTTTCAAGCCTCAAAAAGTACTTGTGGCTTCTTTATTCGTATCCAAAAATAAACTAAGCATTTTCAGAAGTCTTACTATAGAGTTATTTTATTTATAATTTATCAAATTATTGGGTCGTATATAAAACTTTCAGCTGAGATTTTTAAACGGCCAAGAAAATCTGTAATATTTTTTTCAAACAGACTTGCTACTCTTTATTGCTTTAAGTATACAAATGTGTTAGATAATGTATTACCTATTGTATTGACTTCACACTATTGTTTTAAGTTGTAAGGCAACTTGTCACGCAAATTGCTGTCATCATTCCATTAAAGTACTTTTAGCTTATTATGTAAAATTAATTATCTTAGGTACACACACTATTACTTCTGCTATACACAGATTAAAATGTATTCAACTTTACATTTTTGACTATACGTGAACAAGTTCAGTGCACTAGAGTTACCTATGCATCCGTAAGTAAGTATACAAAGCCCGACTACTTATTTCATAGCTACTTTTATTACTAAAAATAGTTATGTATCTAAAAGTCACTGCGTTTAGGAGCTGAATTCCTAACATAGCTGCTGAAAAGCAGCGAATTTTTGTGAGCTTAAAGCTCGGTATTTATGGTATTAAGCCGGCGAACTAACCTCAGAGGACTACAATGTACGCTATAGCCATCCGGGAAATATATGACACTTTTAAAGCTTCAATACATTAAAGTAATGCATTTTTTGTGGTTATCGCAACAAAAAGGAAATTGTAATGTATGAAACATGAGCTTTGCAGAAAGCTCATAACATTAAAATGATCTTTTTAAATCTCCCAGTGGAATTTTGTATTGCTATTTAAATTTGTAGACTTTGTTTTGTTATTCAAAGCAATTAGAAGTGTATTCTACAGATAGAGTCAAAAAAATAATAAATATATTTGTTGTTGATCACTTTCAAGTTTCATTTTGCTATCGGAATATAAGTACCTACGAGTATCAATTAACATCTTAAAACACAAAATACGGACAAGATGAAATTAATACGATGTAATTTACTTTCGTATTATATTACGTCTACTAATGACTAATTATTCTACGCATAGATCATTTTTGTGACATCATGTAACAATATCCCGCAGTATAAATGTTAAAAGTGGCCAAGTTTGGCAAAAATAAAAAATATAACTGCATAAAATAATTCAGGTGTAAATACATTTCAAGAGCCAGTTTGACGTTTATTGAATTGGAATTATTTCTCAGTTGATTTTTCAATTAAGTAAAATGGAAATAATCGATTTTACATGTCACCTAAGTAATTATTGTTAAAAGTTATGAATATAAAAATATAATCATCTACCTTTTCATAGCAAAACATCTAGCTAGCCTACTATTTTATGTGTAAAAATACACTATTTGGGCGCGAATTTGGCTTGTCACACTGCCGTGTACCTAGTAGTTATCACGTGACCCTTAATTATTGTCTGGGGCGACTTTCCTAACATTGTTAACGGCCGACACATACGTCCCTCTAGTTACTTTATGAGCCCGCCTTTTACTTGTTCTCTCTTTTAGTGATGATGTAACAGACAACAATACCTATGTACTACGAGATACTATGAACTGTACTTAATGGTCGTAACGTAAAGAACTAAATACCTACGATATCACTCATGAATTACTTACACTATCTTTTTGGAGCCTCTTTAAATCTAACACAAGAAATGTTGATTTTACGAGATGATTTTAACGATTTTAGCCCAAATTATAATATTATTAATAATGTATTAGATTAGTCTCTTGATAAGTTTTTCTAAAACTCTTAGGCTGAGTTGCACCACTTATCTCTGACCGTCACTTTAACGATAACCGGTGTTTTTGTATGGAGTTTCACAGGTTTTTGACTTTTAACCCAGCCTCAATGACTTATAGGTAGAGTTATTTAACCGTATTTACTTCTGCACTGAGCTATCGAGCTGTCGAATATCTCACTATCGCTTCCATAATTTCTAGTTTTGATAACTCATACATAGCAAAGTAAGACCTTCTTTCCCAAAGGTCACGTGACGTTCTTTGATTTTACACTGCTTTTGTAATCATGCCTAGTTTACTCTCGTGCGATTTGAATATCAAAGCTCTTCAAAGTTATGAAACTGACAGACAAACGGGCGGAGGGCGCGATGAAACTGTAATTAGAACTCAGGATTGCTACAATTATTAAGTACATCTCTGGAATATAAATAGGTTTTCGGGGCTTAAAAAGTTAAATGGAGTTTTTGAAAAATATACCACAGAGACACACAGTATAAAGTTTGAAATAAATCCTTTGATTTATAACAGCACGTGCTAGATATTAATGTTGCAGTCATAACTCCAGTTAAAACTAGGGTTGGCTGAGTTTTATGTGTATAGTTTTGGCGATACAAAAAATATATTGTTGTCGGCCGTTTGGTGTAGTGGTTCGAAACGGACAACTATTCCGGAGGTAGCGGGTTCGATTCCCGCACAGTACAAACATTTGTGTGCATGAACATATTTGTTTGTATTGGACTGGGTGTTTTCTATGTATAATAAGTATGTATTTACAAAAAAAAAAGTATTTAAGTATGTTTATATCCGTTGTCTAGTACCCATAGTACAAGCTTTGCTTAGTTTGGGACTAGAAGCGCAGTGTAAAATGGCCAAGGATATTTATATTTATTATTATTTATATGGACCACAAAATGACGAATACGCTATATACTATACGTTATACTTCTGTTTTGTTTAAGAGCTGTCGACTGTTAGTTTACAAATTAAGGATTTTTAACCAACTATTTGAATCAGTAAAAGTGTTGACTAACATTTAAGTGTTATAAAATCTAAAGTACATTAAACAACAGACAAGAGAAAATTTGATGGGAGCTTTTAAAATTCCGGAATGACGCAAATACGGGTGCCAAATAGAATTTGACGGTAAACACTTTTATTTTTATCGCGAAGGAAATTCTATTGCTTTCTGTATTACAAAAGGGTAATTGTGAACAATTTTTAAATGAAAAATAGTCCATTTAAATTAAATCAATAATATCCTATCGTTATAGAATGAGATTGAAGAGATGTTATCAAAGAGGATGGGAAGGTATTCTTAGGTTACAAATATTTTTCTCATCTATTGCGCGCTCATCTATTGTGTTGTGTACACACGTGTGACGTAAGAGAATAACCGTCCCACGACCATGTGTCGAGATCCACGGTTAGTATCTATCGGCCGAAGGCGGACCAGTCCTTGAATCTATTATAAGATTTTATTAAAATTATGAAAACAATACACTGTTCCAATTTTAAAATTCCTCGTCCCGCACACGCATTTTACGCTGTAATGCCAACGCCTTTTCAATCTCAATTAATCAAACAGGCGTCGCTCGGACAGCACAAATGTTAAATCACGGTCACTTTCTGATCGGTTGTCATTTGTTACAGATTGTGACGGCCACGTGACGATGGCTTGACGTCGGGATGATGTTGACCCCGCTCCAGCGCCGATGACAACGCTCAGCACAGCGAGCGTGGACCGCGAGCATGGCGAACGCGACCGACGCGTACTGCGTGCCCGGAGCCACGGACTTCAACAAGGCCTACAGCCGCCTGCACGGATACATAGCCCTCGTCATCTGCATCGTCGGCTCTGCCACCAACTCCATAAACATAGCAGTGCTCAGCCGGCGCGAGATGACCAGCTCTACCAACTCCATACTCACGGGACTGGCAGTCGCCGACCTTCTCGTCATGCTCGAATATATACCTTACGCTCTCCACATGAATATCAAAATCGGACCTCAAGTCAACAAAAACACTTACGCGTGGGCAATCTTCGTTTACTTCCATTCCATATTCAGTCAAACGTTTCACACGATCTCGATCTGGCTGGCCGTCACGTTAGCGGTGTGGCGGTACGTGGCCATCGCATATCCGCAGAGAAACAGAACTTGGTGCAATAAAAAGAATACGACTTTAGCGATTGTGAGTGCGTATGTGATATGCCCGTTTTTGTGTCTTCCTTTTTATTTCGCGATGACTATAGTGCCGAGTGAAGTGACGCCGCTGAATAATTCGGAATTCGCGGAGGACCTATCGCTGCCGCATAATCGGACCGTATACGTGCTAGAAATGTCTAAGAACGTGGAGCTGGTTACGGCAATTATGTGGATATACAGTGTTATATTAAAACTAGTCCCGAGCATAGCTCTATCTATATTAAGTACGTGTTTAATATCAAAATTAACGACGACGGAGAGGAAGAGGCAGAAGTTGCTAAAGCGTTCAACAGTTGGGCCGAATGAGGTGAGTATTTTTGGTCTGTTTTATGTAGAAAGTAAAGAAGCGGGAATTTTATAAAGAATTTGCGGGTTCCAGAAATTTTTCAATAAAGAATAATAGCACGGTCTTACGGTTGAATACACGCCGCACCGTTTCTATCTCTTTGGCAACAAGTTTCCATTCTCAAAGTTTGAGACCGTGTTTGAGTTTTGAACATTATTACCGAGAAGAACAAACGCTGCCGATTTTAATAAAATTCTCGGTAAAAAAATAACAGAAAAAAATCTCGATTAAAAATAAACGGTTTGGTATTCCGCTGAACATAAATTTTAATTTTAAAACTTTTCATTTACTTATTTTCCTTTAAATGTAGGAGATACTTATTGTGTATTGCTTGTAATTTATTTCATGGTTATTGGTTAGTACTAAAGCAAATGCCTGGTTAAGTACTGCAAATTATCTATGATTGGAAATTTTCTGAATCCCTCCCAGACGATTGGACGTTGGCGGAGGTCGTGAACTTTAGTTTTAATCAATTGAGAGTATTTAAAGATATCCAGCAAAAAATGTCATCTTTGTAAATAGACTAAAGACAAAACAATATTTATTATATTTCATGTTAACATGGTGTTTAACTGGTCCATTTTGTAGAATGTCTGTGTAAGGGCGCCGAGTACTTTCACAGAAAATGCACCGACACGAAGGCATATTAAGCGAAATACAGTGGTTTCTTCTGTACTGGTAATAGAAGCGATTTTGCTACAAAAATGGGTATCTGATGTGCTCGCGACTGTACTTAATGGTCGCAAAATACAGTTTCGAGGACCTATTACAACGTCCATTTCAAAAGCACTAAAAGAAAAGAAAGAGAGAAATACATCGTGTAACAATGTCATTCTTGTCTACCGTGCACAATAAAGTAGCATGAAGTTTACGATTGAACTTTCATTCAATCTGTCTTTTTGTCCTTAAGTTGCAATCATAC